GCCTAGGAAATCTGATCTTTCTCCTCTCTTCCTCTTACTCTCTTTGCCTGTCCTTGTTTTGAATACTTTGAACAGGCAGCTTCTGCCTATCCCTTTCCCCTTACTCTTTCCTCTCTTTCTCTGTCTCTCTTCCCTCCCCGCCTCTCTCTTCTACTCCATAACCCCTTACCCTTATATGTTTCCCAGTACCCACTAAATAAACTCTATACCCAAGCTCTTTCTCTGCATGGTATATCTCTCTGTCTCTCTCCCACCCACTGCGGCCTTGGGTCGCCGCTGTGGCCCCCTCGTGGGACCGGCCTCAGGTCACCTAAGTCATAAATCATAACAGAACCCCCCCCTCCCCAAATTAATTAAGAACAAAACAAACAAACAAACCATATAACTTTGTCCATTCAGCCCCATCCACAAATGCCACGAATGTTCATTGCAATGAGTCATTGGTTTGGCTCATGGCCTCTGGCATGCCGTCATCACTGGCCACGCACGGAAACTCCTCTCAGATCCAAGGCCTGGGATGTGGGTCTGGTGGAGCTGATCAGTCCGTGGGATCCATCCCCTTAGGCCCTCCTAGGCTGGTGCCATCCTGGCCAGCTCTCCCACACTCCTGGGGCCATAGTGAGAGAAGTTTATTCTTCTTTTATGCTATAGGTCCAAGAGAGGTTGGCTGGGGAGCCACTTCTTCCATTCCAGGACTCAGGATGACAGGTATCTATGGTTATCACGAAGGGGCCATCTGGATCTCCCCTGGGCTCTGGTCCTAACTCATTGGCCTGAAATTCTGGCCCATATTCCATCACAAATCCTGTCTGGTGCTTAGCAGGGGAGAGCTGGAAGCATTTGTTCAGAGACTTTATCCTGACAAGAATAAATACACAAATTTCTTCAAAGAACTAATTATCATGGAAAAGCAGACTCTCTGAAAGTGATTTCAGTAAAAGAATTCAGACCCCTCCTCCATCCCCAGCCACTTCCTTTTTTTCAAAAGTCTCTTTCAAGTGGACCAGTTCTAGCCGCTGAGGGCAAAGAATCTCTTCTAAAAACTGGCAGGTGCTTTAGCCAGTGAGGCCGCCAGCTGGCCAGCCAGCCGGCTCTTCCTAGACTCTCAACACCTTTTTATTGAGTCAGCTAGTTTTCAGTGAGTCGGGAAGGAGATGTGGGAGTTGTCGTGAGAGCAGGAAAAGCAAAAGTTAGGTGGAGGGAGGCTGACCAAATGTTTAAGAAATGAAACGATAAAACCAAACATCTGAATAAACTAAAATTTGAACATTCCTTGACTTGACCATTTACAGTAGTTAGAAAGGACTTCATAGCAGAAGTGACATTTAAACTGTCAGCTAAAGGTATCTGCTAGGTGGGGTATTCCAAGTAGCTGGCAGGCAGAATGATGCCCAGCAACCAGTAGGCTTACAGAATCTAAAGGAGCTGGGGGTTCTGTGCCCATCCCTAATACACTGAAATTCTAGCGTAGGACCAAAAATCCTAGTGTAGGGCCAAACATTTTCATTCGTTAGGAGATGGGCTAAAGAGCCTTATTTGCTATATAAAATGTTTAATTCATCATTGCCATCACTAGTAAAGACTGTTGCCGTGTAATTTACGGTAGGAAGTGTAATGGTGTTTGTTCATTCTAACTTTTGCTCTCCACAGTGTTGGTTACCCATGGCCAATGGTGGTCCAAAAAGATCAAATAGGTGATTCCAGAAACAAACAGCTCATGCATTTTAAATTGCATGCAGTTCTGAGCATGACGTGATTGGGATGTTTGGTCGTGCTTTCACTATTATGTTATTTTACTATTGATGTTGTTAATCTCTTATTGCGCCTAATTAAACTTTTCCACGTGAATTGGTGTAGCAAGCAAATAGAATATATAGGTTTTGCTGATATCCAAGTTTTTTGGGTATCTTAAAAAAATATCCCATGCAGATAAGAGGGGACAGTTGTATTATAGTAAATGACCTCTCAGGAAAAGAACGCTTCTGTTCGGGGCAAAATTTGTCAGGCTATAGGTGTTGTGACACACACACACACACAAGTTTCTCTGGGAATGGCAGGAGACCTACTAGGTTAAACCAAACCAAAGCAAACCCAACAGGTTTTTAAAAAACAGTGCAGGGATGTGGATATAGAAGAAAATATTTTAAACAGAATGTCTTTGTCAAAGGGGAGAGTGATGGGGAGAAGAAAGGATTTCTCAGAATCAGTTTGAGAGGTATATATATATATATATATATACATATATATATATATATATTTTGGTTTTTCGAGACAGGGTTTCTCTGTGGTTTTGGAGCCTGTCCTGGAACTAGCTCTTGTAGACCAGGCTGGTCTCGAACTCACAGAGATCCGCCTGCCTCTGCCTCCCGAGTGCTGGGATTAAAGGCGTGCACCGGTATTATTTTACTAAGTCAAATTAAGGGGTTTCTTGTAACAAAACAAAATTGAGTCTTATTTTTCAACCTCTGAGACTGTATTTCTCTGAGAAATAGAAACAGGATGTACATTGCCTCCCCCTCAAGAGCAAGATGATTGAGAGAAATATTAAATAGAAATTTTGAATAACTCTTGACCTCTAGCATGATACGCTAATAGACATAGTGGACCAGGTTCCTTATATGGATCCAAGTCATGATTATGTAAATCAGTTTTTTTTCTTTTTTATTGAGAAAAGGAGAAAAAAAAACAAGTTTCCACCTCCTCCTAGCCTCCCATTTCCCTCCCCCTCCTCCCCCCCTACGCCCCCTCCTCCCACCCTTCTCCCCCTCCCCCCACTCCTTTCCCCCTCCCTCTCCAGTCCAAAGAGCAGTCAGGGTTTTCTGCCCTGTGGTAAGACCTAGGACCTCCCACCTCCGTCCATATCTAGGAAGGTGAACATCCAAACTGGCTGGGCTCCCACAAAGCCATCACATTACGTAGGATCAACCCCCCGTGCCATTGTCCTTTGCGTCTCATCAGCCCTCATTGTTCGCCATGTTCAGAGAGTCCAGTTTTATCCCATGCTTTTTCGGTCACAGTCCAGCTGGTCTTGGTGAGCTCTCAATAGATCAGCTCCACTGTCTCAGTGGGTGGGTGCATCCCTCGTGGTCCCGACTTCTTTGCTCATGTTCTCCCTCCTTTTGCTCCTCATTGGGACTTTGGGAGCTCAGTCCAGTGCTCCAGTGTGGGTCTCTGTCTCTATCTCCATCCATCACCAGATGAAGGTTCTGTCCTGATGGGATTCCTCAGCCTGTAAATCAGTTTTTATTTGGTATCTGCAACCACTCCTTGATTTAGGATGGGGTCATACCTCTTTTATAGATGGAGGTTACTAGTATACAATTTGACTTATGATATTTGCCTTTTTTGCTGTGAAAAGTCATTCTCCATATAACAGAGCTCTATAAATTGTTCTCTTTCCTCTAATTGCCCCGTTTTTAATTTCCTAAGAGCCAGAGACTGCATCAGCGCACACGGTAGAACTGTTTTTAACCTGGGTCCAGAGACTGCATCACTGCACATGGTAGAACTGTGTCTACCCTGGAGCCAGAGATTACATCACTGCACAGGGTAGAACTGTGTCTAACCTGGACCAGAGACTACATCACCACACACGGTAGAACTGTGTCTAACCTGGGACTCGCAGTCCGTTTCGGAAAATGCACTCTGCAGTGAACAGATTTTGTGACATCTGTGGCAGGCTCTTTATTTTTGTCATGTTGTATGTTCTCATCTGAGGTCTGTATGCTTTACATGGCTAGAGAGATGGCTTCTCAAGGAACGAAGTGCCACACAGCACAAACCCAAGGCGTTTCTACCCTTCTGCTTGCTGCAAAGTATTTTCATCATCACCCCAATTAAAAGGATGGCCTCATTCCTCAGGCTTCCAGGGAGCTATCTGATGCTGGAAGCAAAGAGAGAGGCTACAACCTGTATAAAAATAGCTCTCCAAGGTGGTTGAGTGACAGAGTTACAACTCAGCAGCTTGATAGAGCTGAGCACTCACATTTTGGAGCAGGAGGAGAACCAGAGAAAAGGAGCCAGAGAGACTGGGCTGGAGTCCACTCCCAGATAGAACCGAAGATGCCAGGAGCCATCATTTGACAAGCAGATTAGCTGTTAGGATTTCCTGTTGCTTCTTTCCCACCACTGGTCCATTTCTTTGAGTGTGCCTTGCCTCTGCCCCTGCAGGAATATCACACACACACACACACACACACACACACACACACACACTTTTTAAAAAAGTATTGAATAGACATGCAAGCCAGAGATTTTAAAGCATTTTGGAAAAACTAGAAGAGAATGAGCTGAGGTGACCATGGGCTCAGAAAGAGCCTTAGCGGGACTCACACCCCGGCTCTTCATCCAGGCTTGGCTTTCAACACCTCTGTGCAACGCTTATGCAGTTAGACCAGCCACATTTCCTTCAGTCTTGTGTTGACTGGATTCCAACTCGCAATGAAGCCCCTTGCTTCAAAAACCACAGATTCTTTGCAAACATCATAACCCATTTACAATCTCCAAACAAATGCTGAAACTCTGAGGTCGCTTACTAATTTGAAACTTGCATTTCACAAACACAAAACTTACGAATCAAGTATTTATAAAGACAGAACTGTGCAGTTCCCCCCCCCCCCAACTTTTGTTGTTCTCAAATTGCCCCACATTCTGGAGGAAAACCGAAGCCCCTACAATAAACCCACTTTTAAAATTAGTTCAATGTGTAGCCAATAATTCAAGGTAGACTTTTAAAATATGGTAATTTGAAACAGGCTCACGCTTTTTCCTTGGCAAATGTAATAGATGCTATTGTTTTTGAGCAAGCTCGCTGAGAAACACATCGAGCTCTTTAAAACATTTATTAGCTGAAAGCCAAGGAATTGCTGTTCCCTGGCGGCAGCAAGGACTCATTGCAGCCCAGCCACTTACCGTTGGAAGAAAGGCTTCCAAACTTAGCTCTATAATAAATCAACTCTTTAAAATGCTTCCATTAACATGGCATGCTACTGATGGAATGAGACAGGGTCTGGCTATACAGTACAGGCTTCCTTGAACTTACAGTCCTCTTGCCTTATCCTCCCACAGGCTGGGATTGCAGGTGTGGACCATTATATTCTCATGTGAGAGGTTTATAGGTAGAAAAAAAAACGAAAACAGAAAACCAGAATCTTTAGCTGACTTCCTCCCAGCATGACAGGATTCTTGCTGGGCAAGTGAGTGATAACATGGAAGGCAGGATATTGTATTTTAAGAGGCGATCCCCTCCCATGGAACCGTGAGGTGCACAGACTTTGTGCTATGCATCTTGAAACGACCTCTGAGCAGGCAAAGACATCTCAATGCTGCTGTAATGCTTTGTTGTAGCACGAAGCCCTCTTGCTATCGAGTTAAGCAGCTAACTACCGGAGTAGTTGCTACTGAGGAAGGAACAGAGACAATAGCAATCCTATTCTGATGGTTTAGCAGCTGCTTAAACTCCTGTTGCCATGTTAGACCTTGCTGGAGGCCACCACTTAGACAGGTATAGAAGGTTGACTCTCAGTACACTCTCCTTACCCTTCAGCAGAGAGATTTGAGTGCACTGTCCTAGAAAAGAGAGTGGCCTGCTAGGAAACTGTTGCACAATTCGGAGTTCAAGCTGGGCCGTGATTTTCAATGTCTTTATTAGGAAATAGCAAAAGTTGATTACCATTCCATACACGCTGTACAGAGCTCAAATGAAATGGTATGGAGGGTGGCATCTCTATGTGTGCTTGGTCTGTGGTAGCTTGCCCAAAGGGTAACCCAAACTTCCAAAGCCACAATAATGTCTTTTCCTGATCTCAGCTAGGCCACAGCATAATGCCTTGCTACTGGAAAGACTACTAATACATTATAAATGTTTCTTTATAGATTCATCAATTTATTCTGTCATTTTCTTCCTCTGAGGAAGCGGAGGGGTTGACAGGAAGCATGGCATTCGAGTCCCATTCACTGCTGACTGTGTTACATTTTCACAAAGTCTGCTTTGGAGGTTCACAAATACTGCATGCTACATGTTACAATATACACACATGGGGGACTCGAGCACATTGTTACTTTATCTGACAATGAACACAAAAGGGAGGAATTGGTTGTTTTGGAAATAAAACACCATGGTCCTTCTGTGGAACCTTCATGGATAGGACAAAGCTGCTAGTCCCTCTGAGCTCCAGTCACACCGGCAGGCAGTATGATGGAACGCGGCTGGATGCAAGAACACCAGCATCGAAGGGTGGAAGGAGAACTTTCAGGGATGTGACATCATCGTTTATGTCACTATATCAAAGAGGAATCACACTTTCAAAGTAACTGGGGCTAGGACATCATTGGGAAACAACCATGGTGTGGCGTGCCTTGGTTAAGGCTTGTGCTGGTTTGTCTAAACGTAGATTTCTGGAGATTGTCTAGCCACATCGTAAGGAGCCGTATTCAGAGGAAGGACTCCTTGTTCACCCACATGAGGCTGCGTGTCTCATTGGGCTTGCATTCATACTCAATGACAGAGAACGGGCTTCCCCACTGGCAGTGGTCTCGCTTGTGGTAATTGTAGAACTTGACTTGCCACACTGTCTCGAAGGTCCCAATGTCTGTGAACTGAGGGAGAGAGAAACCCATCAAAATCTCATCTTGCCACAAGCAGTGGATGCCCGCTAAAGTCAGTGACACACATGCAGTGGATGCCCGCTAAAGTCAGTGACAAACACAAGCAGTGGATGCCTGGTAAAGTCAGTGACACACACAAGCAGAGGATGCCTGCTAAAGTCAGTGACACACACAAGCAGAGGATGCCTGGTAAATTCAAGGACACACACAAGCAGTGGGTGCCTGCTAAAGTCAGTGACATAGCTCCCAATAATCAGGTTTCAGTAGCCACATCTCTCTTAGTCTGCAAAATTCACACATTTTCTTTTTGGAACTACATTCCTAAGATATTGGAGATCTTTTCCCCAAATCTCCTGGGCATTGGACTATTTCATGAATTTATCTTGTTTTCCAAAAAGCGAATCTAAGACTCTCACAATTTCTGTTCTTTTAAAAGAAGAAGTTCCAGAAGGGAACTGGAAAGAAAAGAAAGGGAATAGTGTTGACCAGTCATCTTTTGCACTCTGTTCTGAGACAGTAGTACAAGAAAACATCTATATTATTCATCTAAACGTAAGGTATACATAAGTGCTCTTTTATTATTAGTTTCAATTCAGGGAGGATATTTGACTGAAGGTAACAACCACAGATGCTTTGCTTTGAAGTACTGGATTCAAAAAGATTTACTTTAATGGTCAAATATCGAGGGTATATGCCCAGCTCTCAAGTTTAGGTACTGTACCATTCAAACTATGAGTGCCTACTATGTACCATGTACATATGAAAGTTGTATAAGATAGATTATTGCTCTTGTTATGTTACAGCCAGCTATGTTGGTTTAAACTGAAATCCAAGCTTATGGAAGGCTAAGAGAAGACTGCCATGAGTTCAAGGCCAGCTCGAACCACTATGAAAATAAAAGTTGTTCTACCAGAAGGTTGGAAGGTAGGCTCAATAAAAAAAAATCACTGTACAGAATTTTGAGACATTAGGATGAGTGTTTTGTAGCCACAAAGAGGACACAGAATGCTCTAGAGGCCACCAGGCAGATGCTCAAGTGTCCCGGGGTTTGCCTGACTGCTGCCTTCAGCAGCTATTTAGAGGACCTGGCAGTAAACAGCATTATGTCTGTAGTTATTTTCTCCGCCAATCCTCTTTTGATGAGAAGGGTCAGGACTGACTTGGCAGGAATCTTGGAGCCAGGAGACATAGAGAGAAGGGCAGTGAGCAAGGCGAGCTTTTACGCTGTGCAGCTGATACCAGAGGAGGGTGATCAGGTGCTTCTCAGAGAGCTTGCCAAGGTGCTCAGGACTTAGTTCCTGCATCATCGCCTCACCCACTGACTTGGTCCCGCATCAAGATCTGGGCTTTCCTTTGGGAAGTGTGCCTGATGTGAAACACAGGGATGAAACCATTAGAGTCTACACACTTCCTAGATATGAAGAGGAAGTATCTCTTCTTGGAGAGCCACGACCTAAAGATTTATGAGCTTACAGCAGCTTGTTTATAATAATTCCCAGCCTGGAATAAACTCAAAACACCTCACTATTCACCAGATGGGAGTCAAGTTTTGGTATATGTGTAAAGTGACATGTGACTGATCTATCAATAGGACATGTAGCTTAAGGTAAGAACAGGGATGGATCTTAAGAAACTGTAAGCAAAAGAATCTAGATTCCAGAGAATATATACCATATGCTTCCAATTACTTTAAAGTTATATGATAAATATAAACTATACTAGTAGAACATATCCGTGGTTATTTAGGGCCTGAGAGGGGGAGATTGCTGAAAATGTATAAGACAGAATTTTTGGAGGACAATGATAAAAGTGTTCTATATCTTGGTTGATGTGGGCCAAACTACACTGAACTATATACTGGGTAATTTATTATTTGAAAATCATGTCACATAGTTGGTTGCTTTTTAAATCAGTATCCATTTTCAGTAAGCTACAGGAAGGTCGGCCACTGAGTCCTTCACAAAGGAGTCCTTTGACAGTCAGGTTAAAGGTGTGACTAGATGTGGATCCGGAAATCATACTTCCTATAAGAACATCGTAAATTTCAGAACCGTGAAAACTGAGCATGAAAACTCTTACTTATAGAACAGATTTTTATAAAGAAATTTAAATGTAAAATATTTTTCTATTATTTTTTATTCCTATATAAATCAAGTATAGTACAATATTGAACGCATGGTCTTGTGACAGGGATATAGTCACGTGGAGTGCCTGCTTAGAAAATATGAAAGACTCTGGGCCGATCCTCAGTAAAAGATAAAATCTAGGACAGTAATATTCTTATGTCCAATTTAATCCTACTTACTTAATTCCAACTTAATGTTGGAAACTGATGGATTACATTTATTTTTCTATGTGCTTATTTGTATTTTTAAATTTAAATTAGAAAAATAAAAAACCCAAACCATGCTAAGTACTGACATTTTTGGCCAAAGAGTAATGTAAAATATTTAATAAGGAAATAAAATATTACATGAAATGTATGAGTTACTAAGACTGTTAGGATAAAAGACTGAACCATAGTTCATTAAAAGAAAACTATATGGGCAGGAAAGATGGCTCAGTGGTTAAAGGCACTGTTGCTCTTGTAGAGGACCTGGGTCCAGTTTCCAGCACCCATATGTTGGCTCACATCTGTAAACTCCAGTTCCAGGGGATTGGAGGCCTCTTCTGACCTCTTTGAGCTCCTACATTAAGGTACACACACATACAATTAACATAAAATTAGTAAATATTAAAAAAACCCAGAAAACTATGGTTAACACTTGAAAAACTTCAAACACAATATTAGCAGTTAAGCAAACACAAACTTTTACAGAGATGCCAGTTATCTGTTCAATTAGTTTAAATTTCTAAGTCCCAGAAGCACTGTTGTAAGCATCTGTTATTAAGAAAATACTGTGAAAATAGTGGGGTATTGGGATGGGGATTTGCAGAGCCATTAAGGGAGGAATATGATGTGAGAACAGGCATGGAAAAATCTTAGCCAGAAAGAGATCAGAACAGTTCATACACACGAGCTCAAGTATGTAAAATCTAAAGTGTATAAAAGCAGGGTTTTAACCTCTAAGTAATCAAATTTTTCTATTTCTTCATTCAGATTTTTTCTGTAAAAAAGAGCTATTTTCAAAATGAAATGGCTTATCCTTCCTCTCAAGTTAAGACTGGTATGTTATAAATTATATTACGAATATGTACATGCTAATGAAAATATCACAGCTTTGTTCAAAATAAGATAGTAGTGGGTTTCTGTTATTCATGTTACAGTAGTGGTATGTACAAATTGCAACCTCATTTAATAACTCACTTTGAAAGGTGTAGTTTTCTTAGTTTTAACCAACAGAGGCATTTCCAATGTCATGAACAATCGAATTATAAAATTTAACTGGAATTTGAATTCTAAATTATAATGGCTAACTTATTTTGAGGTAAGGTCTCACTATGTGACTCTGTCTATCTGATGCTTGCTATGTGAATCCGGCTAGCCTTGAAATCACAATGATCCTCCTGCCTCTGCTGTCTGAGGGCTGACCTGCATCTCTGGCTAATAAAGGTATTTTATAAAGTACATATTTTAGTAGTAAAACATTTTATTATAAAAACAGTTTTCTTTTTGTTTTTTAAGAAGATTTTATTGTGTATTATGTACACAGTATTCTGCCTGCATGTATTCTTGTATGCCATAGCCCACTATAGGTTGTTGTGCGCCACGTTGTTGTTGCTGGGAATTGAACTCAGGACCTCTGGAAGAGCAGTCAATGCTCTTAACCTCTGAGCCATCTCCCCAGCCCCAAAATAGTTTTTCAAATAAAGCTAACCACTCAAGAGAAGCAGCAGCCTAAAGCCATATGCTTCCCAAATGAGAGAAAACACCTAGAATTTTTCTTTCAATAAGAAAGAACTGGATATAAAATAACAAAACAAAAACATTAAAAATGAAAAATATAACCACCCATAAGAGGCAACTTCAGTATTATTAACTTAACTGAAAAAATTAAACTAGGAAAGTTATTCTTAAATATTTATTTTTAGTTTGTGTGTCAGGGTGTTTTGCCTGCATGTATGTTTGTGTAACACGTGTGGTCCATGCTCACAGTGGCCAGAAGGCTGCTTTGAATGCCCTGGAACTGTAGTTAGAGGTGGTTGTGAACTTCCACGTAGCTGTTGGGGCTAGAACCTGGGGTCTTCTGGAGGAGCAGCGAGTGTTCTTAACCACTGAGACATCTCTCCGGCCCCTGGAAGCCTTAATCTAAGAATATTCAGTAGTATTCAGTAACACAAGAGACCCAAACAGAAATATGTGGACAGCAATGGTCATAGCAAATATGTTAGATGTTAGTTTCCAGTCCTCATTTGGTTGGGCTTCTCCTGACTCCAGAGTCATGCTGAAGTATATATCTCTGTTAAGTCTGCACAGCTTCCTCTCCCCCAGGCCTTAGATTTTTATATTTCCCACCAGTTTTCTGGAGTTCACTTCCTGGTCCTTTTACTATCTAGTTCAGACATTTTTTCTCATCTATCTGAGAGCATAAGCAACCATACAGGCTTGCTTCTTCCTCCTGGCCCATCCCAGCAACCCAGGGATGGCACCAGCCACCACTAAATGAGAAAATGCCTTGTATCTGGATCTTATTGAGGCGTTTTCTCAACTGAGGCTCTTTCCTCCGATGACTCTAGCTTGTGTCAAGTTGTCCCACAAAACCAGCCAGTACATTACTCTAACAGCCCAAACTGATAAATAAATTTTAAAGAAAGGATATTTGTACAGAAAATGTCATGGCCTTATAAGTAAATTTGTGTATTTTTTCTAGTCCTTAAAATATTAAAGTCAGAAATATATGAGAAGGATGTTAAAACCAAGAAAGTTTTTTAAAAAAAATAGAATAAAGAGTGAAAAGTTTACATAGATGTGTGTTAGATAGTCATTTTAGGCCATAATGGACCTAATATACATTGCATTGTGATATCACAGTCTTCTCAAAAAGTGTGAA